ACTTATAAGTTATAACCTATAAGCATATATTGCTAGATGAATTGAAGGAAGTAGAGGAAATTAAAAGATGTACACGCACACTTATGAATGAGAAGACCACTTCCTTTGCCTACGAAATAATACTGAACACTAGAAAGAGGACAATCGATTGTCTTGTAAATGAAGCAAAGCTGACCAGAGGCCAAAAAGAACAAAAGAATAGGGAAACTTGCACAAGCAGTAGAGTCATAACGTTATATATGACATATAAAACAATAATTCAATTCTTGCATAAATCCATTCGTACTTAATTGAAGGTTCCAAAACTTCAAGATTAACGTCTACTTATAAAAAAATGTTTGCTTTTTCTCTATGGGAGAGTCTTAGGGTTTTTGCCAGAACAAAACGTACAAGAAAAATGACGTGATAGTTAGAGTTTGATAATTGGGGGTGGCTTTACTGATAAATCTTATTTTTCTTGTTAATTTTATTTTGTACCTGATGATAATTATGCAATAGTGTAATAAAGAAATTTCACTTTTTAACATTTAAGTTGGGTGTGGAAAGAGGTTAGATGGGTTCAAATAAAATTTTCCATCCACAAATCTCACCTCTCTCCATGAGATTTGGAGGAAATTGAATCAAAATTTTACATGAAATCTCTACAAATAGAGGGTGTATTCAATGAGAAATTTGAGAGATTTTAATGAATTTATAAATCCATGGATTTTTACGAAGTTCAATTGATTTGTAGAGATTCCATGTAAAATTTTGATTCAATTCCCTCGAAATCTCTTGGGAAGAGATGAGATTTGTGGATGCTCAAAATACATCATGATATCTCTCAAATTCCCTCTAATTCCTCAACTTTTTCAAATTCTTTAAGGGGGGTTGTATTCAATTGGGATTTTGAGGGATTTTAATTCTTTTCATGAATCTAGGGGTATTCAATCAAGAGTTTAAGTGATTCTCTGAAATTCAATGTGTATTCAATCATAATTTTAAGATAGTTTATTAAAATCCTTAGAAATCCGGGTGTATTCAATTAGAATTTTAAAGAAGTTTATAACATTACAGGTGTATTCAATTAGAATTCCAATTTAAAGAATTTGGAAAAGTTGAGGAATTAGAGGGAATTGGAGAGATTTTGTAGTGTATTTTAAGTATTCACAAATCTCACATTTTTCTATGAGATTTCGAGGGAATTGAATCAAAATTTTTCATAGAATCTCTACAAATCAGTTAAACTCTATAAAAATCCATTAAAATCTCTCAAATTTCCAATTGAATACACCCCCTAAAATTAAATTCTAATTGAATACACTTGAAATGTTATAAACTTATTAGTATGGTCTAGTGGTATTTCTCTTCGCTTGTAAGTGAGAAGTCTTAGATTCGATTCTCGTCAAAGGCAAAGTTGAATTACATCATTATGACAGACCCATTGTAATTTGTAAGACTTAGCCCACTCTCCCATCCCGTTAGTGTGGAAACTATTGTTTTTTCAAAAAAAAAAAAAAAAAAAAAGAAGAATTTTTATTATTTTTTGTATATTTTTCTTGACAAATAATAAAGTTAGTGGATTAAATAGTTAATGTTAAGATAAAGGGAATCGAACATGCTGGACGGTGCATACCGATTATTTTTGTATAATAATATATATAGGGAACTGTTATTAACACTCCAAAAATCTCATTCTACACTCCTCATGAGTGTATCTTTCTTTCTAATTATAGAAAGTTTGTAGTGCAAAATGAGATTTTTGAAGTGCCAATAACAATTCTCTATATATAAAGCCAACAAGTCTAATGAATAGTGTTTTTTGGTGTCACAAGCTTCACCAAAAATAATTGGACAAAAATGCCCCTTAAACAAAAAACTTCAAAAGCAACCCAAAATAATGCATCAAATGCGGTAGGGGTATTTTTGTCATTTTAACAGTGTTTTTTTTAATAACTATTTTTTTTTTGTACAATTTTTTTTTTTAAATTAGTACCTCACAACAGCCTAGCAATAAGGTGATTCTATCAGTTATTCATTAAATATATTTTCTCTATTTTTAAACACGCTCAAAACATCTTGATAATATTGGTTATAAAAAATGTTTTTCGCACGTGCATAATAATGTGATTTAATTAGTTGTCAAATGATTGTTTTTTTTTTTTTTTGAATAAACGATATTATCTATCTTAAGGGGTTTCTTCTAACATGATCTAAGATTATTCATTTACTTCCAATATTTGACTTTCCTTTTGTCAATTCACACATATAAATACATTTAAAACGTATAAATCGTGTATAGCATGCCGTGATTCAAAAAATACCTTCTATACGCGCGTGCATGAAGGTAGTTTTTGTATAATATAAAAAGGGTTGTCAGCAAACTCTTCGACTTCACTAAATTTAAACAAAAAAAAAAAAGAAAACTAATTCAAAATCAAATTTTTGAGGGAAAAAAAACGACTTTGGCTATTGGATTCCGTTTGACTGAGCTTCAAACTGTTAGGATTTGTGATTAAAAAAAAAGGCAGGAAGAAAGGGACATAGTGTATGGAAAAGGAACAGAAAAGGATCTGGCTATCATATGTTGCCAGATAATGAGAAATCTGCATCATTAATTATGTGGATTCTTCACAACATAGTAACTGTCAAAGGGAGACTCAAGACCATTTGGATTAGTAGTAACAAAATTAAGAACAACATAATAATTAGCAAGTTTTCGCATTACATATATTTGTATAGATGATATTGAGGAGAGGAAATCGAACTAAGACTCTGATGCAATTTTTTTGTTTTATAATAGGAAGAATAATCATTTCATTACTAGGACAACAATTAGATCGTTTGATAATGAACAAAGAAACATGAGCGATTCTTCGTCAACGATGTAATGAAGAAATCAACGTGAGTGATTCTTCTTCAATCGAAGCATTGAAGCAGCAACCTGAGCTACATATGCTTCTTCTAATTAGCAAGTTAGTGTCTCGATACTATATTTGTAAAAGCAATTGATACCTGTATATAGTTTTAGTCATATTAAATAGGAACTTAGGAAGGAAAGTGAATCACATGCGTAATTTTTTTTTTTTTTTTTAATTGGTACTAGACTACGTGAATCTCACTAATTCCGTCACCATATCTTATCCGAACAATGTAGCTATAATCAAAATACTGTATGGAACCAAAAAAAAAAAATCAAAATATACTGTAAGTCTGTGACGTCGTCTTCAACGCACACCATTTGCTTACAAAAGTTTAGAAATTTATTGGTTGATTTGCCATTATTGCTCTTAGATTCACGGTCACAAGCATCAGCATGCACCCTTTTCTAGAAGAGCTTCACATTTTAATGTTCTACACTCTATATATTTAGGGGAGTGTATTGAATTGAGATTTTGAGGGATTTTAATTCTTTTAATGAATTTAGGGGTATTCAATCAAGATTTTAAGTGATTTTCTGAAATTTAAGATGTATTCAATTAGAATTTTAAGATAGTTTCTTAAAATCCTTAGAAATTCGGGTGTATTCAATTAAGATTTTAAAGAAGTTTAAAACATTTCAGGTGTATTCAATTAGAAATTGATTTTAAAGAATTTGAGAAAGTTGAGGAATTAGAGGGAATTTGAGAGATTTCGTAGTGTATTTTAAGCATTCACAAAGGAAAATTTTATTTGAACTCATATAACCTCTTTCTACACCCAACTTACTATTTACATCCATATTAATTTTAATGAAACTACCAATATCACTTTAGACCCATATTTACTACCTAAACTACCCTTACAAACCCAATTCAATTTGTAATTTATCTTACACCCATTTTTTTTTTTTAAAAAAAGCCAAAATTAATGCATTTTCTATGTATTCTCTCCTTCCAAGAGTTGCTTTTGATGGAGTCTTCATGAACCTCTACAACATTGTTCTCAATAAATCTCAAGTTACACTAGTACAAAAAATACTTTGGGTGACGTAGGTCCTTCGTCGCGCAAAGTCCAAAAAACGTCACGCAAAAATTTGCGTGACGAACCTTCGTCGCGCGACAGGGGTCGCGCCACGCCTGTGAAAGAAGGTTTTGCGCGACGAAGAAGTTACATGCGTCACGCAAAGTGGGTTGGCGTGACGAAGGTGTGCGTCACGCAAAGTTGGTTTGCGTGACGAAGGTGTGCGTCACGCAAAGTGGGTTTGCGTGACGAAGGTGTGCGTCACTCAAAGTGGGTTGGCGTGACGAAGGTCTGGGTCATGCAAAGTGGGTTTGCGTGACGTAGTTGTGCGTCACGCAAAGTGGGTTTGCGTGACTCAAAAACACTTTGAGTGACACATACCAACGTCACGCAAACCCACTTTGCGTGACCTATGGAACTTCTTCGTCGCGCAAACTTTTTATGTTTTTAATTTTTTTGAGAAAAATATTTTTGATTTATTAATATATTTGATTTAATTTTTAATAAATATTGTAATTATTCTAAACAATAAACAATAAACCAAGAAAAAATTTAATTATAAACCATATATATGAAAATGTGCATACAAGATGTCTAAACAAAAAAAGAAAAAACTACAACAAGTGACTAGGTTTGAAAACTACTGGGTATCAGGTAGGTGAGGTGGCTGGGAGGTCGAAGGTGGAGTAAGATCAGGTGCTGGCAGCTGGATTTGGAGACCAGACACCGCTAAGATACGTGCACTCAGAAATGGGCCGCGAAGAGAACTGTGCAGGATCGACAAAGTCTAGAACAACCTGAAAATTTACAAAAGTTAAATTTACAGCCAAAGAAGCAATTATTTACTGAATTATAAAAGAAAAATCTTCACAAAATAGTGTCTAGTTTTACAAATAAATGGAACCCAAATTAAAAAACTAAGAGATTGAAAGATTAACTGATTAAGAAAAAAAGGCATGAATCCTGCCAAAAAAGATGCAAAATTTTTGCATTGGCAAATGATTCATAATCTACAAATGATATCTTAAACAGAACACATTAATCCAAGTCAAAAGTTCCCAAATTTAAATCAACCAATATGAACAAAATATAAAATATGGTTCATTGTTTCTCTTTGCATTTTAAATCACATGGTGTTTCCCAATATACTATTGTCTTAACATTTCTTATACTCGTGCATTAGATAAAAAATGATACCATGCTAAAATTACATGGACTGCTTTATCAAGGTTTAAGGAAGCAACCCCAAATCATAGTATCTACATATTTTTTTTCAGATTATCTAAAACACTTAAGCAAAACCATCACTTCTCAATGAAGCCATGTGAGGCGAGCACCTGAATCGACAATGAAGAAACAAAGAAATCAATCTTCGATCACCAAACAAAGATTCAAACCCAGAGCTGTGTAATTCTTCAAAAAAAATTGACAGAATTGATGAAAAAATTGACAGAATTGATTGAAGAAAGTGCGAAAATTATTAAACCTGATCTTCTGGACGCGATGCAGTGGTGAGAAATCACATCAACCAGCAACCAATCGTGCATCCATAATCTTCCAATACGCAAGAAATCGAAATAACAATGGAGCTCCAAAAATCACACGAAACATAATTTAAAGTTGTGAATCAACAAAACACATAATTCTGAATAGATCTGCTTGTCTAATAACAAATCAAATTGACAGCAGCAATTCTTTGTTCTACGTTCTTCCGATGATGATCGGGCAATACTGTTGTTAATGTAGATAAAGGTAAAGGACACAAACCTATAACAACTAATTCAAATATATCCCTTCAATCTATAGACTAATTCAACGATCTGCTCTTCCTGGATATCTAGGGAAAGGAATAACATCTCTAATGTTGTCAATACCAGTAGCAAACAGAACCATTCGTTCAAATCCTAAACCAAAACCACAATGTTTGACAGCCCCGAAGCGCAGCAAGTCAATGTACCACTCATATGGCTCAGCAGCAAATATAAAATCTTTTGCAACACATAAATGGAAACACCAAGTCATCCAACACCATCCAAAACCATAAAACAACACAGCAACGACACCAAAATTAAAAAATAAATAAATCCCACAGATTGGACTTTCACACTATAGAAAACGTAACTTTCACAATATTAAAAAATACAATTTGTTCCAGAGAGAGGGAAGACAAATCTGGGTTAAAGATTTGGGGATCAAGGTTGCGAAGAGGAGAGATGAGCAAGAGGGAAGAGATAGAGGAGAGAGGAAGAGGATAGATAAGCAAAACCGAAAGTCTGCAATTTAACCAAAACCGAAAAGAGGTGTACGGAAGAGGAAGAGGAAGAGGAGAGAGGAAGAGGAAGAGTATAAGAGCAAAACCGAAGAGATAGAGGAGAGAGGAAGAGGAAGAGGAAGAGTACAAGAGGTCTGAAAAGAGGTGTACGGAAAAATTGAAAAAAAACGCCTATTTTCGGCTATGGACCGCCAAAATTATCAATTTGCGTGACGTAGGTATACAATTTGACGTCACGCAAAGTGGTTTTGCGCGACGATAAAAGCGTCGCACAAGGTTTTTTTTTTTTTTTTTTTAAAGTATTAAAAAAATTACCAAAAATGTGACTTTACTCCTTTCAAGTTCAATTTTTATTTCACATAAACACCACAATAATATATTATTCTAAAAAAAACCCATAATAATTTTTTTTACATATATATCATTCAATTTCTTAAGTGTTATAAGTAGAAATTAAATAAATTAAAATCTACTTAGTAAATACATATACCATTGCACTTGATGGGAAACACATTGTACGAAACTAGTTTCAACGATCCAACCGTCAAACTTGTTTGTATATGCTTCGAGATGACGTGCGTGAGTCATGAGGGGTGGAGGGTGATTAAGTTGAGAACCAGAGGCGTATTCTTAACACATCAAAGTCGTACTTCTTCTTTAGCTACTGTTTCACTACGCCGGATCGAAAGTAAGTATGCGCGTAGTTAGTGAAGGGGCAGAGAGAAGAGATGGGAGCGATAGATGCCTGACTCGGTCAATAGCTTTAGGGAAGGGTCCGATCTATGCATCAATCCATTTCTTAAGTTATCAGATGTGAATGAAAGCATACCCGAATTCTGATCTCAACGAAATGCATAAAAAGAGAGGCATTTATAAATTGCGTAAGAGATCATCGATTAGATTTCTTCCTTGTCGACCCACGAGGTCGCCCTTAACACCTCAACCGCGCCAAAAATAGGAAAAAAAAAACATTTAGAGATCAAGTAACGTGACAAAACTTTTCGACGGTTATAAATGAAAAATAACGATTTAACGGTAGTTTTAACTCCGATTTTGATGATTTTTTACAGCTACACTCCTTGACCGTATATAAATACAATGAACTAATTCGATCGTCAATTTAATGTATTTACACAAGTGGATACCACAAAATCTTATGTTATACTTAATGAAAGTATTAATAAACTCTAAGTGTTAGTAAATCTACCATTTTTATGGGAAACACATTGTACGAAACTAATTTCAACGATCCAACCGTCAAACTTGTTTGTATATGCTTCGAGATCGCATACGCCAAAAATAGGAAAAAAAAACATTTAGAGATCAAGTAACGCGACAAAACTTTTCGACGGTTATAAATGAAAAATAACGATTTAACGGTAGTTTTAACTCCGATTTTGGTGATTTTTTACAGCTACACTCCTTGATCATATATGAATACAATGAACTAATTCGATCGTCAATTTAAAATATTTACGCTAGTGGATACCACAAAATCTTATGTTATACTTAATGAAAGTATAAATAAATTCCAAAAGTGTTAGCGAATCTATCGTTTTGATGGGATACAGATTGTTGGAAACTAATTTCAACGATCAAACCGTCAAACTTGTTTGTATATGCGTGGAGATCGTATACGTAAAAAATCACAAAAAACAAACGTTCGGAGATCAAGTAACGGGACAAAACATTTGGACGGTTAAAAACGAAAAAGCATGATTCAACGGTAGTTTTAACTCCGATTTTAGTGATTTTTTACAGCTACACTCCTTGATCCTATATGAATACAATGAACTAATTCGATCGTCAATTTAAAATATTTACGCTAGTGGATACCACAAAATTTTATGTTATACTTAATGAAAGTATAAATAAATTCCAAAAGTGTTAGCGAATCTATCGTTTTGATGGGATACAGATTGTTGGAAACTAATTTCAACGATCGAACCGTCAAACTTGTTTGTATATGCGTGGAGATCGTATACGTAAAAAATCACAAAAAACAAACGTTCGGAGATCAAGTAATGGGACAAAACATTTGGACGGTTAAAAACGAAAAAGCATGATTCAACGGTAGTTTTAACTCCGATTTTGGTGATTTTTTACAGCTACACTCCTTGATCCTATATGAATACAATGAACTAATTCGATCGTCAATTTAAAATATTTACGCTAGTGGATACCACAAAATCTTATGTTATACTTAATGAAAGTATAAATAAATTCCAAAAGTGTTAGCAAATCTATCGTTTTGATGGGATACGGATTGTTGGAAACTAATTTCAACGATCGAACCGTAAAACTTGTTTGTATATGCGTGGAGATCGTATACGTAAAAAATCACAAAAAACAAACGTTCTGAGATCAAGTAACGGGACAAAACATTTGGACGGTTAAAAACGAAAAATCATGATTCAACGGTAGTTTTAACTCCGATTTTAGTGATTTTTTACAGCTACACTCCTTGATCCTATATGAATACAATGAACTAAATGCTGATCGTCAATTTCTTTCCACTATCGAAACCTAATCTATGAACCGCAAACTACAACACATAACTATGCATTCCCAAACTGTCCAAAAAATGGGACAATTCAATAATTAATTGGACCGCAAGCATGCTTTTGCATCCATGCACAAAATCCAACTAACTCTCAAACGGGAAACTAAGCTTTTCTTGAAAAAAAAAGTGTACGAACTTAAGTTGTATTAACTTCGTACAACACAAAACAATTTTGTAATTGATGTACAAAAATATGTGCATACAAATAAATTAAATCACAATAATTAGTGAAACTAAATAAAATAGATACAAAATATTAATCCTTGTAAACTATAATGTTGATGGCCTTAGTTTTTATTTGTTTATACTAATTATATCATAGAATATACATATTCTAGTTAGTTACACTCGAGTAATTTTGGTGGTGAGATAAATGTACTGTTAGAATATGAACACAAGTGTAAGTGTATTTTGGCTAGATATTGGTTTTAAAAAATCTTATTGAAAGATGTTTTGGTTGTCTTCAAGTTTACAAAGGATTGAGACTAAAAATGAATCCTAAATTACTTACTTGCGTGACGCAAGACTTTGCAGTTTCTACCACCCAAGACTTTGCGTGACGCATATGGCGTCGCGCAAAACAGCTTTGCGCGATGCAAGTGCACGTACGTCGCGCAAAGCTGTTTTGCGTGACGTCACATACGTCACGCAAAGATGTTTTGCGCGACGTACGTGCACTTGCGTCGCGCAAAGCTGTTTTGCGCGACTCATGTAGCCCTGCGTCACGCAAAGTCAACAGAAAAAGCGGTAAACCTTACTTGCTTTAGCGCCAAAATCTTGCGGGACGCACAAAACGTCGCGCAAATGGCCTTTGCGCGACGAAGATTGGCGTCGCCCAATACCGTTTTGCGCGACGCAAGGGTACATACGTCGCGCAAAACGGTATTGCGCGACGCCAATCTTCGTCGCGCAAAGTGCAGTCGCGCAAAGGCCATTTGCGCGACGTGTTTTGTTTAGCGTCATGCAAACATACTTTGCGCGACGCATTTAGCTCCGTCGCGCAAGTTTTCGTCGCGCAAACATGTTTTTGTACTAGTGTTACCTTGCGTGACGATGTATGTTGCATATGAATTTGAGTTTTTTATGCTTTGATGATATGAAGACGTCTAAATTATAACCTATAAGCATATATTGCTAGATGAATTGAAGGAAATAGAGGAAATTAAAAGACCTACACGCACACTTATGAATGAGAAGGCCACTTCCTTTGCCTACAAAATAATACTGAACACCAAAAAGAGGACAATCGATTGTCTTGTAAATGAAGCAAAGCTGACCAGAGGCCAAAATAACAAAAGAATAGGGAAACTTGCACAAGTAGCAGAGTCATAACGTTATATATGACATATAAATTAATAATTCAATTCTTGCATAAATCCATTCATACTTAATTGAAGGTTCCAAAACTTCAAGATTAACGTCCACTTATAAAAAAAAAGTTTGCTTTTTCTCTATGGGAGAGTTGTAGGGTTTTCGTCAGAACAAAACGTAGAAGAAAAATGACGTGATAGTTAGGGTTTGATTATTGGGGGTGGGTTTACTGATGAATCTTATTTATCTTGTTAATTTTATTTTGTACTTGATGAAAATTATGCAATATGGTAATAAAGAAATTTCACATTTAACATTTAAGTTGTGTGTGGAAAGAGGTTAGATGGGTTCAAATAAAAATTTCCATCCAGAAGTCTCACATCTCTCCATGAGATTTGGAAGGAATTGAATAAAAATTTTACATGAAATCTCTACAAATAGAGGGTGTATTCAATTGAAATTTTGAGAGATTTTAATGGATTTATAAATCCATGGATTTTACGAAGTTTAATTGATTTGTAGAGATTCTATGTAAAATTTTGATTCAATTCACTCAAAATCTCTTGGGAAGATGTGAGATTTGTGGATGCTCAAAATACACTATGAAATCTCTCCAATTCCCTCAAATTCCTCAACTTTTTCAAATTCTTAATTAAATTCTAATTGAATACACTTGGAATGTTATAAACTTTTTTAAAATCCTAATTGAATACACCCGAATTTCTAAAGATTTTCATAAACCATCTTAAAATCCTGATTGAATGCATATTTGAATTTTAGAGAATCACTTAAATTCCTAATTGAATAGCCCTAGATTCATTAAAAGAATTAAAATCCCTCAAATCCCAATTGAATACACCCCTTTCTCCATAAAAATTCATGGATTTAAAAATTCCTCAAATTCTTAATTGAATACACCCCCTTAATCTTCTAGATGATTTGCAACACAACTAGTTCTTGGCTAGATTAAAATATCGAAACGGAATGTCCATAATCGAAACGGGATGTCAAAGTAATGTATCCCTTATCCATGAAATGTTGGCAAAATTTTGGCAATTTCGATGTCATGAGTATAATATCGTCGAATATCTCCAAATTAGGGAGATTATGATGGAAATATCGGTTTAATATCTGGGGCATTTCGAAATAGTTCCATCAAAATTTGGTTAAATTTTGATTCATCTTGTAGAATAAATTGGAGAACATGGATGATTTTATGGGTAAGTATTCAATAGTCTAGATTATTGGATAATTCGGCCTTAAATCTATTAGATTCGCCTGTAAGCAAAAATAATATTTCCTTAATTAATTATAATCGTTCATTTTCAGTACTATTGAGTAGTCCGGACTAATGAGAGTTCGGTTT